TTTCTGTAGTTGTCTTATTTTGTTAGCAGTTTTCTGATGAAATTCCTCCTTACGAGAGGCTTGGTCCATTCAGATGATACATGTGAGTGTTTCAAGTATTTCTGATAGAAGAGATATTAACTAGATGCAATGCTTATTTCCACTTTAATGCCAGGAGGCCCTGGCTGCCTTGGGAGGGTCTCAAATGGGGGCCTGTGTTAGAGAGTCCGGGCTCAGTCACCTCCTAGCTGTGTGGCCCCGGGAAAGATGCATCACTGTTCTGAGCCTCACTTGCGACTACCAAACATGAGGAGGTTGAAGTTCTTTTTGCTATCATAGAACCCAGTCCCTTGAGATGGATCTGCTGAGGCTGACCCTATATTCAGATCCGTAGGGAAATAGAGAGATCACATCTACTGTAGAATGTTGTCTTCTAGGACATACTACTTTTTGCCTTTCTGCTTCAAACTTTAGAATAGTCTTCCTTTTAACTGTAGATCACTTAGTACTTGGCATATATTAGAGATTTCAATTAATGACTCAATTTAAGGGTCATAGGCTAAGCGGGATATGTCCACTAGGCCAAGGGGCTTTCTATGAAACCCCATTACTGAGGAAATTGGAAGAATACATTTTCGATTTCACCCTTAAGTGGGTAGTTTTATTTATATATTTATTTCATTAGTTTTAGATTTAGGTAGTAATGGATGTAGATGGAGATTAATACTTCATCTATAGCCCATGTGTCTATAGAGATTATCTGCTTCTGGGGGTATCAATACCAGGAATTTGATTTTAACCATCTGAAACTGCAGGCATCTCTGTGAGCTACTGAAGGTACTTGGGAGGAAACACATCTGTTAGGGGTTGTAATGTGATACTAACATGAAACTGGAGATCTACTCAGTTTTCTGGTCCTCAGGAAGCAAATGGCCAAGGGCACCAAATTTCTATTCTGGAAAATTCCATTAATGGCAAGGAAGTCCAGATAGTTTTCAGGCACTCATCTTGATTACCGTTGCTGGTCCTCAGTTTCTCTCTGATTCCATAGAGTAGATTGAGTTGTGCAGTAATTTAATCATGTGCTTTGTTTTGACTGTATCGGGGGACATAGATCAGTCTGCAGAGCACATGACTTTGGTGTATTTCCATCTCGCCTTGATACCTCCTTGTCTTCTGGCAAGGCAAGTTTTAAAGAGAAACTTTTCTACAAAACCTTTTTTTTTTTTAAATCAACTGTTGTTTTGAGTTTTCCTCCAAGTCTAGGAAGACACCGATGCTAGAGTTTGTGTTTTCATATTTTTTTTATTAGTTGTTCATGTTGGGTTTGAGATTATTTTACTCATGTCTCAGGAGTTAAGAACAGACAATTGACTGATCCCAGAAAAGGAAGCATGTAAAAATTTTACATGCTTACCTGATAGCTTATTTATCGTTGGGATCTTTAGACTCACTTCAGTCAGAATATTTTGAATCAAATAAATCCAAGTGTTCACAGGGCCCTTTAAGACAGTGTGATTCCCAGTGCTCATCCTCAGCAAAATCAAGAGCTTGTGAGGAATGTGCATCAGTGCATTCCTTCCTTCCTTAAGACAGTCTTGCTCCCAAAGAAAGTCACCTTAATGCCATCCAGACAGCCAACCCAAACCTCCCAGCGCCTGGCTCTTAGCTACACCAATAAAAGACTCAGATAAATGCAGCCCAGTGTTTCTGCAGCTTAGGCAAGTTACTAAGCGTCTCTGTGCCTTGGTCACTGGGAATGATGGCATGAGTAGGGTGGAAAGGGATAGTGTAAATTGGGAGATCAATGGGTAAGAGGAGTAATTAGCAATGAGGGGGCAGAAGTGGAATAGACTGCTGGATCCTTAAAATAGATCTCTGAGATAGCTGGGGCTCTGGCAGGAGAAAATGGGTAGTGGTCAGAAGTCAGGCACATGGACCCTCACATACTTGGGGAAAGGTTGGGGGTGACCTCCCTTTGAAGCCATGGAGCTCTTCAGGGCATAGCCAAGATTTTGTATGAGTCAAGGAGGTTGAGGGAGACCTAAGGAGAGGTTGGGGATATAGGGAGCTGGTGGGTGAAACGAGGCCAGAGGGCCTTGTGGGAGGGTCTGTAAGAGAGGTGAAGAGATGGGCACTGATGAGTGGTGTTGGAGTAAGAGGTTGAATAAGGAGGGATGCCCTGAGACGTTCTGAGGACTTCCAGTGGTGATGGAGGGAAACAGGAGATGGAGCAGGTGGGGACAAGTCCCAGTGCTCTCTTAGAAGAGATTGGGAAGAAACTCTTAGCTCAGTCATGTGAGAGCTTCAGGTTAGATTTTGTCCCCACCCCTGACCTCGGAGAATTAGGCTGCTTTAGTGCCTACATACTGCTTTCAAGGTCAGCATAGGAAAACTGGTCCCATCGATTTTAGTTTTAAAGGAGATGAAATTGTGGCTTTATCTATAGCTTTATAAACTTCAACTTATTCTCTACCAACTTCTTCTCCTGTTTGGAAAAATTTTAATAAATAAATAAATAAAAAGAAGGAAAGAAAGAAAGTGTAAATCAAAAGCAAAAAAAAAAAGTTAAATACTTGCCTTGATTTGGTGAGAAAGTAAATCAAGTGACAATTTAATTCTCAATGAACATGTGACAACCATGAAGTTAAATATTAGATTTAAATATGGCAGCTAATTCTCTGCAAGAATTACGTTTGTCTCTTTATATGGGCACTCTACCTAATGAACACATTTATCTTCTCTTAAATTCAGCCGTTGCTACTGGAGCATGAGAAATTAATATACATTCTTATATTCATTAATACTGTTGCTCATAAAAGACCTTTTGATTTTTTATCACCCTGAGTTCCCAGAGGCTCATGGAAGCCGTCATAGCTCCAAACCACATGAATTATCAGGGGAAAAATCCTATTACAGCAAAACCTTAATCACTGCTTGCATTTTTAAAGAAATTGTATCTAAAAAGAAACTGCAGAGCAGATCCATCAACATAGAATGAATAAATAAGTGGTGGTATAGTCCTTTCTCTGAATATTATAAAGTACTAAAAGCAAAGGAATTGCTATTATACACACTGTAGCTCAGTGTAACTCAATCTCAAGGACATTGTTGAGTGAAAAATGCAAGACGTGGAAGAATACACACTGTCTGTTTCCATTTACGTAGCAAAGTCAAACAATATCTCATTAGGGATATAGCATTAGTAACAAACCTATGGAGGAAATGATTAATACAAAATTCAGTCTAGTAATTACCCCCGGAAGAGAGTGGGGAAGTGGATACCATCAAGAAAGAATACGGTAGCACAGTGGTGCTTTCACCATACTGGTGATAGTCTGTTTCTTGGGTGGAATGACAGGTTTATACTATTTAAATTATAGAAATATGCTTAGTATTTCCTTTTGTTTTCAAAGTGCAGTTCACATTCAAGGGGGAAAAAAAGGCTTTTAAGAAAGATCATCAAATTAAATCACAGTAATAAATCTTCTATGGGCTCAGCACCTGAGGCATTACACGTGATTATAGAAGATAGACGGGGTTGCTCTTAGTCTCAGGGTGTTTACAGATGTGCAATAATTGTGAGATAAGCCAGATTTCAACTAAGCATAAGTCAGGATGTACTATGAATTCAGAGAAGGAGGTCTTTGATGGTCAGAGTTGTCTTGGAAACCCTCTCAGGAAGTGAGAATTTGAACTGGCCTTTGAAGGGTGAACGAAACAGGAAGCTGGGAGAGTATGTTTACTTTTTGTTGTTTACATATTTCTATTTCTCTTGCCATGTGTAACACAGTTTACTATGGAAAAGCAACTTCGTGCATGTACTCTGGATTCAGACAGACCCGAATTCAAATTTCAACTCCTCCATTCCCACCGAGAATCACTGAATTTTCTCCAGACTCAGTTTCCCCACTTACAAAATACGGAGAGAGATGCTTCCCAGGGATGTGGGAGTAAAACGAGAGAATACCGTTAGGGACATGTTCCAAGCTCCAGAAGGCTTCCCAGTCTCTCTTTAATACCGCCTTTCAAGGATGAGGCACCCTGGAAAGAATGGCGGCCAATGACCTTGCCGAAGCCTGGGCTGAGGGCTGAGCACTTGACAGTCAGGGGGAAGAGGAACAAGCTGCCATGACAGCTCTTGTCCTCCACAGAGTCTCCTTTTGGACTTCCCACTGGCTCTGTCCTTCTGAGCAATGCTTTTCTCTGCTCTCCTCCTTGCAACGGATGGGCTTCCAGAGAGCCTTGGTGGCCTCCTGCCTTATTCCTCAGGAAGGCGTATAGATGAGTTGACATGGGCCAGGTCCTCTCTAGACAAGAGGGGGAAATATTTTCTCTTCCCGCCATGCATCTATTCTTGTCTGTACCTGGCTTTGGAGAGCCAAGACTAAGGCATGATCTTAGAAAGGGCTCGGGAAACCAGCTGTAGCATGGTCTAGACATTTCTGGAATGAGAAAAGAGTCTCAACCCTGGTCAAGCCCAGTTCACCAGCAGGACAAAGCTCTAATTAGCCATGCCCAGATCTTGCCTCTTCCCTCTGTTTCCTCTGAGCCTCCCCTCTAGAAGTCTGAGGCATCTTAACAAAGAAATAGGGATTCCTGGCTCTCTCTCTGCCTTTCCCCCACGAGACACACGACAAACAGTATATGCAAAGCATCTGGCTTGTGAGAGGTCTGCTGTTAATATCTCATCTTTTCCCATTTCTCCCTTCTCCTAAGTTTGGAAGTTCATTAATCACATTCTGTAGCCAATGGGGAAGTCACTTCTTAAGTTCTAGCGAAAGTAATAATTGAGCTCCAGAGAGCACGCTGGTGTAAACTCCTTCCAGCTATTTGGGGTGCACAGGGAGGATGGGTACTGGGACGAGTCCCAGTGCTCTCTTAGAAGATGGGTACTGAGCCTCTCTTTCGGTTTACTGGGGCAGAGGGGAGAAGCTCAGGAGGCGGGCCCCTGACTCCTACCCTCTGCCGTCACCTCCGCGTGCCTCAATTCCAATTTCCATTCTGTCTTTGTTTTACAGTTGTTCAGCACATCAAGAGACATAACATTGTTCTGAAAAGGGAGCTAGGCGAAGGAGCCTTTGGAAAAGTTTTCCTAGCTGAATGCTATAACCTCTGTCCTGAGCAGGATAAGATCTTGGTGGCAGTGAAGGTAAGAGAACACTCCAGAATGTCTCATTATCCATGGTTGCACTCACGTGTGGAAGTAACGTTATTTCATGTTATAGTTGACCAATTCAGGAGCAAATTATGTCTGCTCTGGTGGATGTGTTCAAATTTTCTGGAACTAAGTGGACAGTGGGAAGGGTGTTTGGGGCACATGTAACTGTTGGAGCTTCTTCTCAGGGGCGACCCACCAGTCCATGGGCTGTGGAGAGCTCTGGGCTACTCTTCCAAGTCAATGCTAACTGGATACTTGGTGGAGGTTAGTAAGGTCCGACAGAATTCCCCCAGACACATTTTGGAGCCTCAATCTGTGTCCTTGGATTGCTCAGTGTTTTTGCCAAGCTCAGCTGTAGCTTGTCCTCGGTGGGGGCCCTACGAGGGAGACTGGAGTCCGCTTTTCCTCTCAGCCCTCTGCTCTGCTGACATCTTCTGTTACAACTTACCCTGTCCCTCCTGAATGTCCCCAAAGCCCCAGGATTGCATACAGGGCGGCATGATTCCGTCCTGCGGTGGATGGCATCTCTTGGGATTCCAAAATCCCAGGAGACACACGGTTTTACTGAAATAATGGAGGCTGAAAGTCCCTAATTCCCACCACTGCCCGCCCCCCACCAAAACTCAAAAAGGAGACCTGGTCTTCAGTAAGATAAATGTTACTGGAGGGGATGAAATTTCCACCGAGCTCTCTAAAATATAGGAGTTAACAAAAATAGCACAAAAGACTTCAGCAGATCTTTTACATATGCATTGTCAAAACTAAAAAAAAAATCCCAACTCACCAAGGTGTTGAATAATATATGTAAAAGACTTAAAAGAGACCTATATTTATAAAATGAATTAAATGGCAAAGGAATATGGGCTTGGCTAGTATAATAAGATGTAGCTTCTTGGCTTCACGGAAGATGATTGGGTTTTCTTTGTTTCTGCCAAACAGAATGTAGCGTTCATTTACTAGTTACAACCAGGACAAACTTCATGTTTAAAAGTTAGCTGTCTATTCCATTAGTGCTGTACTTAGCATCAAAGTATTCTACTATATACATAATAGGTAATTGAGGGGAGAGAAACTTCTGGAACTTACTCATCCTGCGGACTAAATACACTTTCTGTTAAAATTCGTCCAAATGAAGAAACAGTGCATTTGCTTCCCGGATATCATCCCAACCTGAGTGGCCTGGAGGCTCTTAGACTCTCACCAAAGGTTTCTAAAAGCTGCACTTTGGAACGAATAAAGGACAGAACTTTCTAGGGAGGGTAAATGTAATATCAGTAAACATCGTCTCACTAAGCTAGGCAAATGGAGAGGGAGAGGGAGCCGAGGAGAGGAGACAGGAAGATGCTGGAAAGATGGGAGGTCAAATGGGGTAAAAGGTGTAAAATAAGAATCCCTCCATGACTTGGGCGTTGTTGGGGGGAGGGGTGGTTATTCCTGTTATTGAGACTGCTTCCTCTTTTCTTTCATTTACCCAGAAAGTTTATTTTTTAAAGCACAAAATGTTCAGAACATTTGGCAGTGTTCTCTCTGCAGTCTTTGCTTTCCTCTGCTGCTTTTTCCCCTCACGTTGGATAAATGGGACCAAAAGGTGCCTCTATTTTTGTAGATTCATAGACTGATAAAATATGAGAGCTAGAAGCAGCTTAGGGAAAATCTGATCCTAATCTAGCCATGAGTTATACGCAAGGACATTGATGACCAGGGATTCCCATTCTAGAGTCATGTTTTCTCCCACTGATATCTGGAGGCCCACCAGGGACCTAAGTCAGGCCTTCAGACTCTGAATTCAGATTCTTGATTCTTGGGGTCACAAGGTGAGCATCTTGGAATGTGAGAAAATTCTGGGAGATTAGGGAATCCTAGATGACAGTGTAGGAGTAGCTGAGGGACCTCAGCCAGATATGGAGAGAGAGGCACCAAATTTCTTAGTGGGGAAAGCCTTTCATTTGAGTGTCATTCTGTATTCTCTGACTGCTTCGCTGTTCTCTGAACGCCCTTGAAGAGAGGGTGTTCCCCGGCTACATTTGGGTCACCCTCAACTCATGTGTCGCATTTCCTTCCCAACACATGCTAGGACAGGGTTTCAGGGCCTGGGCTGGTCCTGACGAAGCATCGCCAGGGTCAGTGGTCAGTGTGGTGTAAACAATTACCCTGCCCACACAGCCTGCCGCTCCCGAGGCTCATCTCCCACTGCCATTACTGCTGAGGCTTCTCCCTGGTTTGAATCCAGTCACAGCCCAAATCCCACCTTTGACGAAGACACAGGACCCGGTCCTCTTGTCGAATAAGTTGGCAAATTCATGACCTACGGTGAGCGCTTGTGAAGCAATACTGCTAGAAACAAACCAACCCCAAATCAACCAAACCAACAAGAACTTGAATTTTCCCCTTTATCAACTCCTGACTCTTTGTGGGCTCGTTCCTTCTTGTTGAAATTCAAATGAAACTGTTATTTCAAGCCTAGAGGACGAAAACGCCTGCAGCTCAAAAATTCATTTCAACTTCAAGGTCGCACACCTAAAACGTCTCCTCTCCACGACCTTGCCTGTGAAGTCTTGTTGCTATCAGAGGCTTTGCTTACGTTTGCCTGAATGACTTCTAGCTTCAGAGAGGGTACCCATTTTCACTTTCTGGGATTCAGAGGCTGCAGCTCCCCCCAAGGCACAAGCCAGACCTTCCCCAGCTCTAGGACGGCTGGATCACAATAGCACATGGACCTGTTACAGAGCTGCTCTCCCCAGCCTGACCGGCCCATTTTTCTGGCCGGGGGCTGGCCAACTGGAAGTGTGTTCAAAGACTATCCCCTGAACCTTGGAGGAAAATGTCTATGGTTCAGTCCTAACCATAGTAAAGTAAATTTTTCAGGAATGAGACAAACAGAATGCCCCTTCCGGGGCCCCGCCCAGCCTGTCACCTCTGAGGAGTTGCTCCTGGAGCTGCTCTTCTCCCATTGAAGGTACCCAGGGATGTTTGACAGGCTTTCTGCCCGTTGCCTAGCAACCCCTGCAGCATTGATTATGCGTCTAAGAAATAGCAGCTATTGTCCTCTTTCCTTCTCTAGAAGGAGCTGACTGGTTTGAAATCCAGGGCTTTGCACGCAGACTGACAGATGTCAGTTTCCTGTAAATTGTGGCATCGCCTGCCCCAATTGATTTTAAGAACTTGAGGGATCTGCAGGAACCGGTTTAAGATGGACGTGATCTGAAGGCACTCAGGAGCCCACAGGGGCTGAGCGTCCCTCTCCCATTAGACTATCTCCCCGTTTGGGAGCCAACCAGAGTGACCTTTTCTTGATAGTTTTTGGATGACCTTCGTTTTTTAGTGAGATGGATGCAACAGCCATTTTTTACCCCTTACGCTGAATCACAATTGCAGAACCCATGAAGAGGGTGAGAAGCGGAGGAACCGGTCTTTGATCAGAATGAGTTACTTTACCTTTAAGTAACTCAATTACCAAGGAAACGCTTCACGGTAGTTTCCCTGCATTAGCTGTGGGTGCGTTAACTATTTTTGGCTCTATCCAACCTGCATTTCGATAGCTACAATGCCTACAACATTTTCCTGTACTCTGAATGCACGCTGATTTTTGTTTTTTAAATATAGCCGCAAGTGCGCGTCGTCGGATTCATGGCCTCTCCTCCCCCTCTCCACTAACTCAGGTGTATTTCTAGAAACACAAAAAATGCTGCATGCAAGACAGGCTTTGGAAATTATATAGAACCCAAGTCTCATGTTTTATAGATGAGAAATCCGAGACCCAGGGAAGTCGAGTGACTTCCTCGAGGTGTAAGTTAAAGAGAGCGAGAGGCACCCTACAGGAACATTTGAGACCAGGAATGGTGAGATCTGACTTCAACAAGCACTTCCTTCTGAATTTTTGCATTTTGCGATTCTGAGTATCTTCTTGTTAATGGAAGAAATAATGCTGATTTTTTTCATCAAGGGTTTTGGAAGAGTTGACTGATGAGCGCTCTGGTACATTGCCGTTCTGCAGACCCTAAGTAGCATCTAACATGTTTTGCCATTCCTGTGTCTGGAGAGCCCGACCTTAGCCCCTCGGTCCACACAGCTGCCATTAATCCATCCACTCTCTGTTCAAGTTGCTCCTCTTAGGAGAGACCTCCCCTTGCCTGCTCTGCCAGCTAGGTCAGACCTCCCCATCATATCCATTAAGGCATCTGTACTTGTCTTTTATGGCATTTGTCAAGGTTGTTAATTCTATATGTGTCTGTGAGCTTATCAATGGCATGACTGCATGTCTCCTCCATTAGAGTGACATATCCTTGAGAGTGGGAACCATGCTTTTTAGTACATTGTCCAATATCTAGCAGCGTGGAATAAATGCTTGTTGAATGAATGACGGGATGGCTATTAACCGATGTTCTTTAGCTTAACTCCCACATTTTGCCAATGAAGAAATGGGAACCCGGAGAAGACGAATGACCCATCCAAGGTCACGTAGCTTGAACAAGGGCACTTAATGTCAGATCTAGGACTAAAACTCAGGCCTCCCCAACAGTCTGATGCTTGTGATGCACCGCATTTTTTACTTATTGAATTTTGCACATGCCCTGGTTGCCCCAAGTGAGGAAATTCAACATGATGCCACTTACCAAGTAATGCAAAGGAATGTGCTAGTTGTGCTCATCTGTATGTAAGGATGAGAGACACTTTGGCATTTTTCTGAGTAGAAATGCAATTCAAGGAAATAGGTGGAAATAAAGAAAACTGGATTCTGGAGTGAATATAAGCAAAACATCATTATCAGCTTTGATAAGAATAGTTGTAGCACGCTCATGGGAAACCTCACTCAGGCTGATTTAAGCAGAAAAGGAAATTTATTTGCCGAAGCTACTGGAAAACCTTGCTACTAGTGTCCTTGCTTCAGGTACTGCTGGATCCAGAAAATCAATTCTCCATGTATGTATCTCCTGACTCTGCTTTCCTCTGTATTGACTGTATTCCCAGACTGGTTCTCTCCTTTCCACTGT